GTGGAAGAAGCAAAAGGCTCCGATCTCCTAGAACGGGAGCGAAAGACTTCCTGGACTGAGCCTCCCTGTGCAGGATGGTCCTTCCGCAGAGGTAACTCTTTGTGGGTGTCCGAGTACTAACTTTTATATTCCGGTACACTCTTTCGTTTTCTCCTTTGTTCTCGGATTTAAGTAAAAGTTTCACTCTTTACCAAAGGAACAAAAAATGCTGAATTGTCCTTGTGTCTTTTTTCTACTAGTACGCTCTATAAAATTTTTCAGACAATTTTCAGAACCCCCTATTTTCTAAAACGGAAGAAAACTTTCCTGTTTAAACCTCAATGCCGTCCAAAATTTATAATATAGTTAACCTGAAAGTTATCTTAGTATTATCCTTGGTTTTGGGGAAATTTCGTCGCCCGCATTTGAGTTATGTGTCACCGGTTTTATTTTTTTACCATGCTCACCTCGGCCTGACCAGTTACAAATAACGTCTTTGAATAACTTTACTTGAATAACGTGTATAATTTGGACCTTGATTGTTTCGAATTTACTAACGGATATTTTTGTTGTAATTTGTAATTTATTAGTCAAACGTAAGGTAAGAATTACCGAGATAAAGACGTCGAAGGTCTCCAGTAAAGAATACTATTTACAAGGGTGTCCGGTTGTTGTCGAAGTTCTTTTGATAAAGGGAGTTTCTTGTTTGGTTTTGTACGGGCAACAGGTCAGCTCTCTGCTTTCACGTTTCCTTTGTAGGTAATTTGAGTCACACGCGAGACACTAGATCCAAGTCTATGAACCGTAGAGTAGAACCCACGTTCAGTAGTATACAGGCTAACAGGTGTGCGTCATATGAGAGGCCCCGCCTTAAATGGAGCACGATTTCCGCCAAAGATTTGGAAATTGGTCCGTGCGCAAAGCATTGTGGGGATTTTAAGACCACGGAGTCTACACATGTGCAGCCTCGAAATTTCGGCTCGATAGAATTCCAAGTATGCTGGACATTGGAACAGTCCTTCGGCGGGACTCGATGACGTAGCATCCTTGAAATAGTGGCTCTGGAGCATCCTTCCTCGACATTGAGAAACACCCTCTATCTAAACTACCTGGCAAAGTCAACCATTGCATCTATAAGTCATTGCATATTTATATATCAGATAAACCAAGCATTAAAGAAACAAGTACAGACAAGTTTTTACTTTATTAAAAAAAAGAATGTTTTATTAAAAATACTTGAGAAAGCAGTCAGGAAGTAGAAACACTGTACATGTATTTAAATGTGAATCCCCCTTTAATCACAACATCTCATCGCCTGCTGTTCACTGTGGGAACCAGGAAGTAAACGAGTCCACTGGGAGGTGAGGGGGGTGTCTATTAACAATGAACACACACACACACACACACACACACACACACACACACACACACACACACACACACACACACACACACACACACACACACACACACACAGATCCAAGGATTACAGATTAACTCTTTAAGCCTCTCGTTAACCACTAATTGATTGCAGAGTCCTTGTGTTGAAGCATTAATTAACTCCTGAGTACATCAGTGAGCTCGTTAAGTCTTAACGAGCTGCAGATTTAACATCATTTTTAAACTTTCACCACAGATGTGTCTCGAAACAAGTCACCAAAATACAAAAAACACACTCCCCATTCCCGACAGAACAGCAGACTGAAAACCAACATGTTTACAATTAAAACATGAAATAAATTAGGCTAAATTCTGTATATAGCACTTGGAAAAGTCCTCTCTATCAGCGTTATTACTGTAAAGAAGAATTATAGAGAAATAACCTCGGGACACATTTTTAGTTGCAGTTTTATCCCTTTGAGTTTCTTCTCAATCACAAACAAACCTGGTTCATTTCAACCAGTTTCATCACTTTGAAAATGACTTAAAAATAACATTTTTAGTCGCATTTTCACCAGACATCATTTCAAACATTGAGCAAAGATCCAGGTCGGCTTCAAAGAAGTCCCCCAAAAAATAAAAGTGGATTTCTACGAAGCATTTCTTGTCGAAAAACACCCAAACAAGAAGTTTCTTTATCAGCTTCAGCCCTGGTGAAAAAAGGAATTGAATAACTTTATCTTGTATTGTATGTTCTCCTCGTAGCGAAGCACCTTGAGATGACGTTGTTTTTAAATTGTGCTATATATATAATATAAATGAAATGTATTATTATTATTATTACTTCTTAGTTGCAGTTTTACCAGAAACCATTTTCACCTCCGCTCCAAAAGCCCCCAAGAATTCATCAGACGAAGTGTTTCTTGTCCCCATTGGACGTGATGCTCCAAAGAAGTCCCCCTAAAAATAAAATAAAATAAAAGTGGATTTCTACAAAGCATTTCTAATCAAAACACCAAAACAAGAAGCTTCTCTATCAGCGTCAACCCTGGTGAAAAAAGGAATTCAAGTAACCGCTCCAGAAGTCCCCTTAAAGTTAAAAACTCTTGCACTGTTTTATCTGTGTTATTGTTCTATGTCCTATATTCATGTTGCCCTGTTGAGGAACCTGGGACTTAAGTCTTTCTTCCAAAAAGTCTCTTTTATACTTAATTCTTCTTTTTCAAACTCCCTGTTGCATCTGATCATCTCGTTGCAGGAAAAACAAAAACGTAGGAAACTTCTAGACACTTCTTAGTGGCAGTTTTAGCTTCATTTTCAAATCCCCTGAAAGTTCCTCAAACGTAGTGCTTCTTGTCCCCGTTGGAGGCGATGCTCTTGGTGGGGGTGTATTTTATGGGATACCCTCCCCTCGCCCCCTGGGAGAAGGAGCAGCACAGCAGCCCCCCCCCCATCAACAATAACGCCGTAGAAGCCCATCCGATATAAATGGCCGCCCCGATTTCCCTCTTTTTGGACGGAGGAATCTGAGGGTTGTGGAAATCCACGATGATGTTGTTGGCCATCCAGCAGAGCGGCACGAGAACAAAGAGCCCGCTGAAGATGTATAAGATCCCCCCGGTGAAAACGACGCGCCCCTTCAGCGCCTCCTCCTGGATGCAGTTGGTACACTGAGCGCCGGCAAGCATCACCGCTAACGCCAATACCCCAAAAACCGCCGCGATGACGGTGAGCGCTCGAGCCGTCTGAAGGTCCTGAGACAGAGACAGCATCTGGGGGAGAAATGGGGAGTGGGAGATTAATTACAGTGTAAAAAAACAGATTCAAGTCTAGTTTCATGAGAGTCTGCCCATTCCCTGCCATTTGGATTCCCTAAAGCCCACAAAATCATTCCATTGTCCAAATGGTCTTCATAGGCTCTAATGCAGTGTAATGCTAATTAAGACAACTTTCACATTTTCCAGCTCAAAGACTTCTACTGTGAACCCGGAAACGTGACTACACCAACGTTTTCTGATAGAAATGTATAGTACGGGTCTCCAGATTTCAACCCCCCCAAAAAAACGAAACAAAAAACAACTGGCGGGCAATTTGTACAATTAGAAATGAAGAAGAAATGGGGAGGGTGAGTTGTGTTACAGTGTAAAAAAATAGATCATGGTCTAGTTTCCACTACTGAGAGTACAAATGGGCCCACTTTCTGGTTAAAACTGCATTTTGGATTCCCATTAGCCCCAAAAACCAATCAGAAATGGTCCAAATTGTCTATGATGCAATTTAATGCTAATTAACGCTTGTTGTCACTGTACAGCATTTTACATTACTTATGTGACTGTCTAAGTTTCTTGTAGTTATTTGATTGCTCTTTTTACTGACCCTAACCAGCACCTGTAGGGGAAGAAAGCATGAGGGTGAGTTGGATTGCCATGTCTAGTTTCCAGCTCATATCAGGTCACAGTGAATATAAATATGCACATTTGTTGGTTTAAATTACCGTTATGAACCTGATAATGTCAGAAATGGATTCAGTATCCCCAATAACCCCCAAAACCACTTCAAATTGTCCAAATTCAAAATAATCTTCATAGACTCTTATCCAATCTAATCCACTTTACACAGTGCTATTTGCCAGCTCAAAGAGTCATATTGTGAATCCGGAAACGTGAGGACCCCAACGTTTTATGATATAAATGTATAGCAGGGGTCTCCAGAACATAGAAACTGTCATATGCTAACCTGCATATGTTGGGTAATTTGCAAAAGTTGCATTAATTAGCATTAATATACACAATAGCTAAAAAAGCTTGGTCCATTTGGATCATTCTGGAGTGGTTGTGGGGGTTATTGAGGATGTTGAATTGTAATTTCTGACATTATCAGGATCTAGAAACCAGAAAGTGTCCATATTCCTTCTCCCATCGAGCATTCATTTGCATTATAGCCTACTAAGACGATTTGGACAATTTGGGAGTGGTTTTTTGGGGTTATTGAGGATGCTGAATCTATTTCGAACATTATTAGGATCCAGCAACCAGAAAGTGCCCATATTCCTGCTCCCAGTGGGCTTCAGCATCCTCAATAACCCCCAAAAACCACTCAAATAATGTCAGAAAAAAGCCAGATTTGGTCAAGGGAAAAAAAGAAAGTGTGCAATACTATTAGGAGTGGTTTGTGGGCGTTATTGAGGATGCTTAATTGCCATTTCTGACTTTATCAGGATCTAGAAACCAGAAAGACCCAAATTCTTATGCCTAGTGGGCTTCAGCATCCTCAACAACCTTTAAAACCCCACTCCAAAATTCTCCAAATTGTCTTCATGGACTATAATGCAAATTATTGGGGGTTATTGAGGATGCTTAATTGCCATTTCTAATAATATCAGGATCTAGAAACCCATTTTCGTACTCCAGGTGGGCTTCAGCATCCTCAATAACCCCCAAGAACCACTCAAATAATGTCAGAAAAAGCCAGGTTTAGTAACGGAAAAAAAAACAAGGTGTGCAATACTATTAGGAGTGGTTTGTGGGGGTTATTGAGGATGCTGAATTGCCATTTCTAACAATATCAGGATCTAGAAACCCATATTCGTACTCAATAACTTCCCAAACATCACTCTTAATATTCTCCAAATCTGGGAAATAGGGAAATAAGGAAGTAGGGAAATGTAAAAGAGTGTCCAACGCACCGAGTCGTGTATCTTGCACTGCATCTGTCCGGTGCTCTGGACCACGCAGGACATCCACAGTCCGTCCCAGATCGTCTGCGCCACCACGATGTTGGAGTCGATGAACGCCGTGACCTTCCACATGGGCAGGCCGCACGCCACCATGACCAGAAGAGAGCCGGCGAGGCACAGCGCCATGCCGAGGGACTCCAGAAACATGGACAGCATGGTGTCAATCAATCAATTTATACTTAGATATATATAGATTAGATAAACTCCGGTGTGTGAGAAGGAGGGTCTTTTTACTGTGGAGTCCTGAGGCTCTGTGAGCTTTTCATTTAAGACGAAAACACAATGAGGAACCTTTGAGCCAATCAGCAGCTGAGGGGTTTATTTGCCTCGGCCAATGAGAAGGAGAGGCGTGTTCAAGCTGCAGACTCACACACGCCCCCTTTAACACTCCCCTTTTCCAAATCCTGCACATTGATATGTAAGTATGGAAAGCCAATGGTGCCATTTAATCCCAACCCTATTCATATTAGATTTATTTATTTATCGCCACAAAAAATAAGCATTTTGAAGAGTTTTTTTTGCCTTTGTTGGACGAGAGTGAAAGTGCAGACAGGATTATATATATATATATATATTCTATAACACATAGGTTTGAGCAAGCTTTCTGATTGGTCAATAGGCGTGTTTGATTCCACGATCAAACAACGATCAAATAGAACTTGCCTAATCACAAAGTATCCAGTGGCCTACACACGCCACTAGCCTACCGAAACTACTTCCATGAGCCTACATCGTGTGGTTTCCATAGCGACGTTTGGCGACACACAGCTGTTACACATTGTCTCTCGTTGGAAATCGGTAGCTACAAAATGTCAGATTTTAAAGTAAATTTTGATTTGTTGGGGGTTCTCAGTATTTTACGAGTCATCGCTTCGCAGCTACTGGGCTCCATCTCTAGACAACAGAAAGATGTGGAGCAACGCGCTTTTTGCCGGTCCGGGACACGCCATGAAACGGCCACTGGAGGAAAGCTGTTCCTATAACGTAGTCCTACCCGTGAACACCACAGCACCACCTGCAAAAAAGTCTGGGCATGGAGTTCATGGAGAGCTGTTTCAAGAATTGCACTTTTAATGGCAGCATGAACATCCACCTTCATTCTGAACCCAAAATGTTTCAGCACCATGGACAGCCTGATTTGATTTGTTCCGCCAATCCCACACAGTGATTACTCAGATATTTAAATAGCCTAATTCAAGAATTGTTTTCAATAAATTGTTTTCAATAAATTGGTTAATAATATATTATTTACTATAATTATATCAATAACTGTAAGCGGGGTAGCAGGAGTGTTTGATCGGCTATCGTTACCATGGGAACTACTTTCTAGGAACTACTTTCTGACGGAGATTAACTCAAGCAGAAAGCGTAGGTTTGGGAGCAAATTAGCCCACATTATGAAATTATTTTACGATATTGTTGATTACAATGATAGTTTGTGTAATAGAATC